TACAACATAATTTGCAAATACTATCAGGACTAAGTTCATGATAAATTAAAGTTCAATTAATCATATTACTTAAGAACTTTCGCTTAGATAGACATCCCTCATGTCATCTAAATGATACGTGATCCAAATCAACTAAACCATGTCTGATCATCACGTGAGATGGAGTATTCATCAATGGTGAACATCTCTATGTTTTATCATATCTACTATATGATTCACATTCGACCTTTAAGTCTCAAGTGTTCCGAGGCCATGTCTGTACATGCTAGGCTCGTCAAGTTTAACCCGAGTATTCTGCATGTGCAAAACTGTCTTGCACCCATTGTATGTGAACATAGATCCTATCACACCCGATCATCACGTGTGTCTCGGCACGAAGAACTGTCACAATGGTGCATACTCAGGGAGAACACTTATACCTTGAAATTTAGTTAAGGGATCATCTTATAAAACTACCGCCGTACTAAGCAAAATAAGATGCATAAAAGATAAACATCACATGCAATCAGAATATGTGACATGATATGGCCATCATCATCTTGTGCTTTTGATCTCCATCTCCAAAGCATCATCATGATCTCCATCGTCACTAGCTCAACACCTTGATCTCCATCGTAGCGTCGTGGTCATCTCGCAACAATTGCTTCTACAACTATCGCTACTGCTTAGTCATAAAGTAAATCAATTACATGGCGTTTGCATTTCATACAATAAATAGACAAGCATAAGGCTCCTGCCAGTTGCCGATAACTTTTACAAAACCTGATCATCTCATACAACAACGTATATCACATAATGTCTTGACCATATCACATCACAACATGCCCTAAAAAAAGTTAGATGTCCTCTACTTTGTTGTTGCAAGTTTGACGTGGCTGCTACGGGCTTCTAGCAAGAACCGTTCTTACCTACAGCATAAAAACCACAATGGTGATTTATCAAGTTTGCTGTTTTAACCTTCAACAAGGACGGGCCGCTGTCAAATTTGATTCAACTAAAGTAGGAGAAACAGACACCTGCCAGCCACCTTTATGCAAAACTAGTTGCATGTCTGTCGGTGGAACCGGTCTCATGAACGTGGTCATGTAAGGTTGGTCCGGGCCGCTTCATCCAACAATACCGCCGAATCAAAATAAGACGTTGGTGGTAAGTAGTATGACGATCACCTCCCACAACTCTTTGTGTTCTAATTGTGCATATCATCTATGCATAGACCTGGCTTGGATGCCACTGTTGTGGAACTTAGCATGCAATTTCAAAAAAAAATCCTACGTTCATGCAAGATCTATCTAGGAGATGCATAGCAACGAGAGGGGGAGGCTGTGTCTGTGTACCCTTGTAGACCGAAAGAGGAAGCGTACAATGCGGTTGATGTAGTCGAACCTCTTCTCGCTTCGACCGATCAAGCACCGAACGTACGACACCTCCTAGTTCTACACACGTTTGGCTCAATGACGTCCCTCAAACTCTTGATCCAGCAGAGTGTTGAGGAAGTAGATGAGTTTCGTCAACATGATGGCGTGGTGACGGTGATGGTGAAGTGATCCGCGTAGGGTTGCGCCTAAGCACTACGAGAATATGACCGGAGGCATAAACTATGGAGGGGGGTGCCGCACACGGCTAACAGATGTTGTTGTGTGTTCTAGGCGCCCCCTCCCCATGTATATATAGGTGGGAGAGGAAGGGGATCAGCAGGGGGCGCCCCAAGTAGGAGGAATCCTACTTGGGCGCCTCCCCCAATTCGGCCTTCCCCCTTCCATATTCACCAGAGGGGAAAGGAAGGAGGAGGGAGGAGGGAAGGAAGAGGGAGGCTGAATCCCTCCCCTTCCTTTCTTTATTCCCCTCTTTCCTTCCCCTCAGGTGCGGCCCATATGGGGGGTGCAACAGCCCCTACTGGATGCTGTGTTTCCCCTCTTGGCCCATTAGGCACATATCTTTGCCAAGGGGGGGTGCCTGGAACCCCTTCCAATGACCCGATATGTACCCGGTACCCTCAGGAACACTTCTGGTATCCGAATACCATCATCCTATATATCAATCTTTACCTCTCGACCATTTCGAGACTCCTCATCATGTTCTTGATCTCGTCCGGGACTCCGAACAACATTTGGTCACCAAATCACCTAACTCATATAAGACAAAATTGTCATCAAACATTAAGCATGCCGACCCTACGGGTTCGAGAACTATGTAGACATGACCGAGACACCTCTCCGTTCAATAACCAATAGCGGAACCTGGATTCTCATATTGGCTCCTACATATTCTACGAAGATCTTTATCGTTCGAACTGTAATGACAACATATGTTATTCCCTTTGTCATCGATATGTTACTTGCCCGAGATTCGATCATCGGTATCTTCATACCTAGTTCAATCTCGTTATCGGAAAGTCTCTTTACTTGTTCCGTAATACATCATCCCGCAACTAACTCATTAGTCACTTTGCTTACAAGGCTTCTTATGATGTGCATTACCGAGAGGGCCCAGAGATACCTCTCCGATACTCAGAGTGACAAATCCTAATCTTGATCTATGCCAACCCGACAAACACCTTTGGAGATACCTCCAGTGCATCTTTATAATCACCCAGTTATGTTGTGACGTTTGATAGCACACATGATATTCCTCCAGTATCTGGGATTTGCATAATCTCATAATCAAAGGAATATGTATATGACATGAAGAAAGCAATAGCAATAAAACTGAATGAATGGGTCTTATACATAACATCATTCTCCTAATGATGTGATCCCGTTTATCAAATGAGAACACATGTCTATGGTTAGGAAACTTAACCATCTTCGATCAACGAGCCAGTTTAGTAGAGGCTTACTAGGGACACTGTATTTTGTCTATATATGTATCCACACATGTATCAAGTTTCCGGTTAATACAATTCTAGCATGAATAATAAAAATTAATCATGAAATAAGGAAATATAAAATAAAAACTTTATTATTGCCTCTAGGGTATATTTCCTTCAAACACACACCATGATCCCCAAGCCGTGTGCGGCGCCCGGTCTCCCTCCAGTTCTAGTTTCTCCTCCGTCCATATCCGTTGTGCTTGGCGAAGCTGTGCGGATAGTTTCACCAGATCTGTCACCATGCCTTCATGCTGCTGGAACTCATCTACAACTTCGCCTCTCTTGCTGGATCGAGAAGGCGTGGACGCATTGAGTTGAACGTGTGCTGAACGCGGAGGTTCCGTACGTTTAGTACTTGATCGAGACAGATCATAAGGTGTACGACTACATCAACCGCGTTGATAAACGCTTCCGCTTAGCGATCTACAAGGGTATGTAGATGCTCTCCCCCTTTCGTAGCTATGCATCTCCATGGATAGATCTTGCGTGTGCATAGAATTTTTTTGCTTTCCATGCAATGTTCCCCAACAAAAGAGACACAAGACAACCAGCAACGCGGTGACCATCGTTGGGCCTCCACCCTCCCCCGCCTTGATGTGCGACTAGCTAGAGCATGGCCTACTTGGAGAACAACAACATCATGGAGGTCGACGATGCCATGAAGGTGATCATGAACGCCAAATGTGCACAATAGACCCTTACTGCCACTACCATCAAGCTTTGAGGGGCACCTGCGACGTCCTGGGAATGAAAGAATTCACTTGCCCACATGCGGGGTTTAATTCAAGATCAATGCAAACAAGTATTGCAAAGCTTTTGAACAATTAAATCATAGAAATGCAAGTGGCTCTAGAACATGTAAGTTCTTTCTTATTGCAATGTTTATGTTTGATGTTTGCTACCTCTGTTGCGTATCTATTGCATAGATCTTTGGCATTCTTAGGGGGGAGGGGGGGGAGGGCATTCCATTTGGTTCATTGTTACCAATTTCTCAGCATGTGCCCCAAGTGACAAACTCATGTAGCATCCCTCAAGAACTCAAGTGCTTCCACAGAGAAGCAAAATTTGGATGGTGATGTTTGAAATATTGAATTTGAATTGTCTTTGAATTATATGTGCTGTAATATTTATATTTGAATATTGTGATCCAAGACAAATATGAAGTATATAGATGTTGTAGAAGAAGAGACAAACTAGAAGAACAAATTTGGTTGATGGCTCTCAGATGCATATATGGGGGTGACAAATTTTTTTTGAGAATATATGGGGGTGACAGATGAGTAGAATCCTTGGAGATGATCTGAGGTGCACTATCAGCTACTATATACTTGTCTAGTCCAATCTCCATTTACATTACAATTATGCCCTAGTTTAGCCAACTTACTCATAAAAATGTACACACTTTATTTTTGCAATGAGCATAGTAAACCAGTACCATCGCAAAAAAGCATAGTAAAGCAGTAGTTTCAATAGATCAATCCTTCATGCACACAATTGCAATTGCAAGAAACATGCCAAGCGTGTAGATCCAGTGTATGTTTTTAGACGATGGGAGGATCATCCTCCCGGCCTCTACATCCTGCAATACTGCAAGATGCACACATCCAAAAGGTAGATGTGTCACACACTCCAATTTGCGGTGGACATAAGCGGCATTCAGTGTGAAACCTTAGCTTATATATTCCAAAACCATGTGAACAACCCATGACCATGGAGACAGACTTCAGAAGAGAAGCAGAATATAAGGTTGTCCCGGTAAATCCTTGTAAGAGTAAAGAGTAGTAGTTGATCAGCATTCAGCTGTAGACACCCATTTCTCGACCAAGCAGGACCTCAAGAACAAACAAATAAACAAAATATGAAATACAAACAATCTCTCAAGAACAAACAAATAAACCAAAGCTCTTAAAACTTCATAATAACACATATGCTGTAACCAGTATCCAGAGTCATCTTATTTAAATGAGGCACCATCTCTGCCGTTCATCTAGTCTTAACAAACAGACTATAAAGGTACACATACTCGTATCGTATGACTTGCTTGTGAGCACCTTCCTCCGGGTATCAGTCACCGTCTCAATTCATTAAACCGGCATAAAGATGCAGGCAATTCAGATACTTCTTTCCCTTTTCACAGAATTTCAAGGACGCCTCTGAACTCGTTGTTCCTCCAAAGTTTAGTCCTGGCCGTTATCCTGCCTTGATATATTTGTTTCTCTGCTACCACCAGAGGTGGAATGTATGAGCTGTTTCTCACCACAGGATCTATGACCATACACTTGAGAGAAGTCGCATTCCGAAGCAGATAGAGTGCTAGCTCAAGCTGACCATGCAAACCGTAAAACCCGGTCATTCGGATAGTCTTCAGATGACTGTGCGGATGAGGCGGGGAGGTATCCTCAATTGTTTGCAAGACAGGAATTGCCAAGTTAAGATAATACATCTGCATGATTTTTTTTGTGACGTATAATTAACAGATTTTTCAAAAAAAACATAGTGTGGATTTTTTTCAAAAAAATATAGAGTGGAAAAATAGTTGCTTGTTATCATATCTCATATTTTTGCAAGAATATAACAATGCACAAAATGTTATGCGGAAAACGAGTTTTCTTTGGTGGTGCCTTTTAAGACTTTCTTGGTGCATCTGCACCAGGAGTTTAAACAAAATTATAAAGTAGCACCTCCAAGGTCTGAAAGTCCTGAGCTATGAGTTTAAACAAAATGATAGATATATATATTGTTGAACTATTTATATAAATTTACAAAGTATAGTGAAAAGCATATGTCAGTTTTTTGGGTGCATCACACAAATGGATATATTTCTTCCCACCAAAATTTGGATGTGCATCTACATCTATGAACTTTATTCACATTTTTTCAACCTACCTTTTCGTTTTTTTTTTACTAAATGTACCCAAGTTCATGTTTGCATTTTGCATGGTAATATGAGAACACACTTACATGGAGTACCAACTCTTCCAAAAAGGGGGCTAGCTTCAAAATGTAAGCCAAACGAAGAATTCCACCAGTAGTTTCTGGCCACCCAGAAATATCTATCTTCAAGATCATAAGTCTCAGATTGGTAAGTCTGGTAGGATTTTTCACAAACCCCAGCACCTGTAACATTAGCAAATGGCAAATGTGAGACAAACAATGACCTCCTCGTACAGCATAAAGAAATGGAAGCAAAACCATGAAGGCAGAACAGACCTCGGTGTTAATTTTGAAGTTTATGGAGAGAGACTGCACATGTGAAAGAGCATTGACAAGATCAGTGAAGACATAATTGAAACAGTCGGAGGACGAAAACAAACCAATCGTCGCCTCTGAAATTTTCAGAGGTTCACCAAGCATGATAGGTATAGCATGATCGTTGAACATGAAGGTGACAAGGTTTGGAGCCCGGATTTCTAACTTCAGCAGGAAACAGAACTGCACGCATAGATAATGCAGCTGGCTTAGTTCCTGCGCTATGCTTAGCCCAGCCATTCTGCATCTGGTGATGCTTAGCCACTCAAGAACAGCACATACTGGGACCAAGCACGAGAATTCCCCTGTGATGGTCACCATATGCAGAGAGAGTTTCTTAAGGTTCGCAAATCCGCAGAGATCAGGGAGTGGCATTAAATAGACGAACCCTAGACGAAGAGACTTGACACAAGAACCACTACTGGCATCAAAAAGATGGAGTGGGAAGGTGTACATGTCATCTGTGTCGATACTACTAACTTTCATTCCTGGACATAAATCAAGAACCAAATGTTTTGTTCTTGATGCGACAGAAAAGTTGACCCATCTATCAATGTGAGCCGTGTGCCTTTTCCGAAGCGCGAACTTGACCACAAACTTATTCAGGCTAGCTGATTGTAGCTGCTGCAGGATGCTGTTGATACGCCTGACGAACCTTGTCTTCGAGGTTTTTTGGCGGCCTAACATGGCATTGCTGCTGCGCATTGTGGCTCTGGTGAACACTAGTTTTGGGCAGCATTTCCAAAGCGCCGTTCCCACTTCCTAGACAGTATGCTCATCCGTACAGCTTCTTTCAGTGTCAATCGTGACAGTATGCAGCGTAAAACATCCTGCAGAAGATGCAAAATTAACTCGACAGAATTCCTCAGTGTGTTTTAACCCACCAGGCGTATGCGTGTGTGCCACACAGACAAATCATGAATTTTTTTACAGGGTGTAGAGGGCTAAGCAATTTACTTACAAGAGGTAGATGGTGAAGCTGAAGGTCCTTGGACCTTGTGACCTTAATAGTTTTTTCCACACATTCTTCAGTGTTTGGTCCCTTCTCCGGAGCCATGGACGCACTCTTTTTCAGCATCAAAGTAACATTACCAGATCTGTTAAATTAATGTTGTATAAGAAAGCCAATTGATAAAGGAGGTCTGGCATGATTCTACATCATTCATTTTCGCATAACTATTGGATCCATCTGAGCATCTGTTGCATCTATTACCATGTAATACTTTTCTGCTTGTGGATGGTCAAATGTTCATAAAACATCACAAGAGGCTGGCTGGATGATTCTACATGGTTAGCATCGTACAGTTTTGTAGAGTATCTCTGGTATTTTCTAAACTGACTGTGTTAGGAACTTAGAATACAGGTGGTAACTATGAGGAACAGCCAATAATGGGTTAAACTTCGGCTTCAAGTTTTCAAGTACGCTGCAGTAAACTGCATTCGTAGTTAGCTTTCAGAAGAAGAAAAAAACACCAGGAGGACAGAACTAGTAAATGCTAAAGGCAGAAACATTGCTTTGATCATGAATCGTGATTTCTTAACAGAAATCTCCCATCCCGCCATATGCAACTAGTCTCAAATCCTTTCAAATGCTATAAAATTGTACTGAAAATCCAAATTACGGAACTACGAAGCAGATCATGTGAATCTCACATTACCACCATAGTTACATACTACCATATATTGTGTGAATGTGGATAATTTACACAGTTACGAAATAATACATCAAGTATCTTCTACATATAATTCTAGTATTCCCTCCGTTCTGAATTAGTTGTCTTAAATTTATTTAGATACGGCTGTATCTAAACACGTTTTAGTGTTAGGTACATCATTATCTGGACAAATCTAATAAGACAACTAATTTGGGACAGAGGGGATACATAACAATTAATATGATCATGTTTTCATCCCGTTCCTACCATGGAAACAAAAGGTTGACAGATTCACTACCACAAGGCTAATTGATTTAGCCTAAATGACTGAAACCTGTAGCCTAAATTAATGGTTCGAGAACCGGCAGCCCATCCAATACACACATCTCAGACGATACATACACCCAACCTAAAGGCGCAACAACGATAGAAGAGATAATTGGCAGGAGATGCAACGGGACAATAAGAATATTAGGAAAATGAGAAGACGAACATGTGACCGCCGATTGGCTTCCCTTTGTGTGCCTCTACGGAGACGGCGGCGCGAAGGCGGTTGATCACAGGCGTGCTGTGCGACAGAACTCCGCGGCGCGAGGACAGGAGGCGATCATGTCAGCCGGGTGGCAGAGCGACGGGAGACGCTCGACCGGGACGGCGGAGCGAGGACGGCCGATCGCGGGGGACACGGGGATGTCATGGGTGCGCGATTGATGAAGGCAGAGAAATCTGATCGGACTTGGTGTGCCGTGTCTTCTTAGAGCATCTACCAATACAGCAAATCCGACCCCTCAAAAGCGATAACAAACAAGGGCCTCAAGTTCTGGCTCGCACATCCCCGTACTTCGTATCCGACACCTTATATTCATACCACGCATGCAACATAATAAACTACTCTACATGATCATCGTAAAAAAACCTATTCTACATGATCATCGTATAAAAAACTACTCTACATGATCAAACAACGGTTAATTTTTTTTGGTATCAAACGGACAAGAATGCAGGTAAACCCACTTAACATCATCGCGAAGTTCCCGTGTAACATCGCCAGTATTTAAACCCACTTAACATCATCCAAAAGATTACTAGAGTTCATCGCGAGACAAGTTCTAAACTTAAACAACTAAAAAATGATAATATAAACGGAGAAGGAGCGGGATCACCACTTCCTCACCAGGCTATTGCCCTCCCGGTCAACGACGTAGTTGTAGGCATCCGCGGCGGGTGGTGGATCATCAGAGTCATCCAAGGTGGAGCTGTGGTCGTCGCCGTCGTCGGACAAAGAGTCGGAGAGGACAATGAGTCCCTTCATCCGCCGGACGGCCCTATCATGCTGCCGCTTGAGCCTAGCCACCCGAGTCGCCTCCACCGCCGCCTCCACCGCCTCGCGCTCCGACTGCTCAATGGCAAGCCGGAGCGCCTTCTCGTTCTTTCTCCGTGGCCGGCCAGTGTCCGTCTCCACGGTCATTGGCGACCGGCGATAGACCCAAGTGAGGAGCCGCTCGTCCTCGCTAGGCACCACCGGCAGCCCGCGGCGGCGGCACATGAATTGCTCTGTCGTGTTCCTTCTCCTTGCCTGCTGCCTCTAGCGGCGGGTGGCGTGTGCCTTTGATTCCGGCGTGCGCGTCCAAGCCGGCGGTGCAGGGACTAGCACCCACCGCTGCCCTTGTAGAGCAGCGGCCGACGGGCGAAGGGGACAATGTGGGGGCGGAGCGGACTGCTTAGCCCTCGCGGAGCTGCGCGCGGGTAGGGAGGGTCTTCTCCGACCTCTGCGCTGCGTCGGCGCGGGAGCGGCGACGGGGCATGTCCAGAGATGCCCCCTGGGTCCACCTTGGATAGCTCGATGCAATGACGTCGAGGTCTAAGCCTGAGTCGATGTCAGAGGTCGACATCTCGCCGGAGTCGTCGGACTCGATCGAAATCGAAGATTGGGGAGGAGGGGACATGAGTGAGAGAGGAGAGTCGAGTGAGCTAGGGATCGCAGAGGGGACGGATTGAAGTTTTTTGTGAGGACGGTGTGGGGTCGGTGGTGGGCTGGGGTGACGTGGCAGACGCGCACAGGCGCACCTAGGCAACCACATATCTGCTCTATATTTGGGCTGGATATGTGGGGCATTGGATAGCCTGGGCGTTTGAGGTGCCCGGGTGGGTATGTCTTTTGGTCGATCAGTGACCGGTCCGCCGGCTCAGGCGTTTGAGACTGATTTGAGGCGTCCGGATGTAGATGCTCTTATGGCTTCCTTCATTTAACAATTTTAAAATATCTTCTCTCACTACAAGAAATATGTGAATTATGCGACCATCGCTATTGGTCGTTGAATGGTCATTGCTTTTCATTTGCGACCTTTTTGTGATAAAAAATAGATGGTCAAAAGCTGAACGTCTTTAATGAAAATTAACGACCTTCTCTACGATAAGGTCGTTGGAGGTAACGACCAAAACAAAAGACCGTTGAATCAACGACCTTTTGTTTTGGTTGTTGGTTGTCTGCATAGGCCATGTCGGATCCGACGTGGCAAGCTGACGTGAAAAAATTGCGATCAAATAAAAAGGTCGTTGATTAGAATCAGCCCGGTCCAATTCGATGCTTTACATGGGCCAACCCCAACAATTCAAGCTTTTTTTCAAGTCAATTCTTGTGGGCTACATGGGCCAAGCCCAATATTTCAACTTCTTTATTTCTGGGCTGGCCTTCTTACAATCAATTTGTTTTCTATTTCCACTCATTATATTTTGGAGCTGGTACCATTGTTCAGAAGGTTCCCACTAGTCATAATGCCATACATCAATCCCACGTGTCAGGAATTTGAAAATTTCTCAGATTATATTCATAAGTGGGTCCCACTGGTCAAGTTTTCAACATACATAATCACTATTTCAAACAGGACAAAACAAATATAATTCATCAAATAACACTACAGTAGCCTTTTACAATCCGTTACAATATTAAAATTTACAGTCTACTACAGAACCAAAAAACACTTTCCTAAGTAGGGCTTCACTGCTTCGCACTTGGCTTCATGGCTTCACACTCAAAAAAATTAGGCCTGAAGCTCCTGTGAAAGAGTGAACATAAAGGCGAAAAATTAGGCCTGGAGCTCCTGAAAAAGAATGAACATAGAAGGCTACCATCTTAAATAAAGAAAAACAAGTAGGAAAAGTACATATATGTTGTCCCTAGAAGGCGAACGCATAGAACAACAAGAACAGTAGGAAAATTATACAAGAACAAAGCATAGAAGTAGATTGATTATGTGGAACCACAAACTGAATCACTGCATATCAGACTACACAGGAACAGAATGTAGAAGCAGATTATATGGAAGCAAAAACCAAAGCATTACGGGGCACATAATAATACATGAAGAGAAAGAAGCAACTATACAGGGCAAAACTGGACAAACCACAAACAACAACATCACAACGACAGAAGTAGCCCTATTTGCATCATGTTGAATAGCACAAGGAGCCATATATGCATCACAAACAAAGAACACTTGACATCCAACATCTGAAGACATTGCAATGATTTCTAAGAACATCTAGCATACTAGTTTCCGCAAAGAGCATAAGCAAACATGATGCAATATCATTTGCATCTCATCAACCAAATTATTCAAGCAACACAACATGCACATGAACAAAGACAGGTTCTGGGTCCTGTTTGATTCACCTAGTTGATGAGGGCGGCAGAGTGGGAGACGAGCTCGATGTCGTTCTCATCGAGGATGATCTCATCCTTGACCTTCTCGGACTGCAGCTCCACCAGATACGGCAGCAACACCTCCGACAACCACAGCAACAGCAGCAACACCAATAATGACCTGCGTGGCATTTCATATCATCATTACAAAAGAAAAAAATTAAGACACAAGCAATCATAATTTCTAACAACAACAATCATCATCAGCAAGTCCTAACTTAACAACAACAAAGAGAAGAAGAGAAAAGAGGAAACTAGAAGAAAAGAGATGAGAAGCTTCTGTTAATGAAAAAGAATTACTCATCTTTTCAAATGAATCAAATGAGTACATCTACATTGCATGTTTA